GCCTCAAATACCAAGCTCTCGGAGGATATTTGAAAGGATGATGGTTATTTCATCTCAGTTTTGTTTTACAACAAAGCACTGCCTCCTGCTACAGGGGCTTTGAACCGGATGATTATACATACACATATCTGTTGAGGTGTGGAAGGCACGTGTCCACGCAGAAGGTGGGTAATTCTTGGGTGCCTGTATGACTTGCTGGTGCCTCACAGCTCAAGTCATTGCCATTTACCAAAGCGTGGCTGTGCCCACCTCCGTTGCCGTGACTTTATGTTTATGCAGCTCATGCTCTTTGAACGAGGACCCCTGCATTGCAATGGAGTCTGCGTTAAGCTTGGTGGATCTTAATTTAGGGTAGGGTGCTAATGAGAGCTTCGTGCTGTCCTGAGGCTGATTGTGGCGTTCATACACTGAGGTTGAGTTTGCCTTCTTCTGAGCCAATCACCTTTGTAGACAGAAGAACTATTAGAGTGGTCTGGTGGTCAGTTGTTTGGCAAATGCATCCCACTGGGCAATGAAGAAGCCTAGAGGGAAGTGGCTGGTTCAAGAAGTGATACTAATGGACCACCTACCATACGTGAGGCTCACTTTGCACTTTGTTGGGGATGCGAGTGGTGGTGTCTTGCTGACTCCTCAAAACAGCCTGCTAGGGCTGGATTATAATTCCTTTTTTATACATGGGTCTGTTGAGGTTCCATAAATATTGGGTCATTGGGAGAGTCGTGACTTTCCCAGTGACCTAGTACTGTACCTGGCCTGCACAGAGCCGGTAAGAGGCAGATTTGGAACCAAATAGAGGTCACTCCACATCCAGATTCCATGCCCTTTGCTCATGCCACACACTTCCTGTGATGTGCAGTTAAGGGTGAGCTCTCGGAGGACTAGTTTGCTTTTCCACTGTTGTAAAACTACCAGCAATCTGCTCCGGGTTCTCAAGGTGCAACTCTGCAGAAGCCTGGGCCCCTCTATCTGAATCTCTTCCCTACCATGCAGAGCAATTAATCCAGGCCCTGGTATTGAACCTATTTTCTGCTTTCTGTGCCCAAAGCAATACTTTTGGGTTCATTTTTTTCCCTTTGTGTTTTTTTTGAAAAGCCATCATTCAAACTGCTTGTCACTTAGACATAGAGATGTTTAATTACTATAAACCCACAGCCTTAAAAAATAAAATAAAAATAAAGACAACAGAAATATTACATGACTCTGCCCAGAATAGAGACCCAGCTGCTAATGAGGCCTTCATGGATCAAGATTTTATAATTCAAGCAGACCACTTAATTTCTCTGTTTCTTTGTTTTCCTCTCTGAAACCAAGAGTATTGATTAAATGATGTTAATGACAGGAACAGCAGAGAGTAAAAAGCAATTCATAATGGAGATGTGAATAATTGTGTGGAGATTTTTAGTCCCTTGGAGTGGGGGACAGAGTGAGTGACAAATACTACATTTGAAGGCAAATTCACCAGGCTAGTTTTACAAATGCAATTTTAGAAAAATAACAAAAGTAAGACTGCCAGCAAAATGTGCCATACCCATATCTTTTTTCCTTCTTCTTTTTTTATTTTTAATCTGAAGATGGAGTGGGTTACCTGGTGAGGTCTCTTGGTACGTCTCACAAGGCAGTTTCTAATTGGTCCTCAAGGATCAGCAGGATAAGAGCTTCAACCTTGGGGGTTGTCATTGCCCCTTCAGGTTATGCTGCCAAAGAAATTCCCCATTCTGGGGGCAGGGCATAAGGGGGGCAGCTCATATTTTCTGCTGACCTCAAAGCTTGGGGGTCATGGTCTTTTTATTTATTTATTTGAGTCATGTGCTATCTGTAGGAGATGGAGGATATTTTACAGTTAAATTCCAGGATGTGCTTGTGCCTAAATGCTAATAATCCTAGTATCTGGGGAACAGGGAATGACTGTTCACAGGGCCAGGGGTTGATTAACAATGCCACTTATTTCCTGTCTCCATCTCTGGCAAAGGCAAAAAAGCATCAAGTACACCGGACCTGCTCTGTGCTGCCTTCTGAGATGTTGAGGCTATACTTGCTATTTATTGATGACCTTGTGATTAAGGAATTTCTAGATTGGCATCTCTCGTGCATCTGATTTAAGTGGATAAGAAAGAGGAGGTTGAGGTGGGTGTGCACATTTTGAAAAGATAATCACTAGGTAAGATTTCTAGCAGGGATCAGGTTATGTTGGGTAGCACACAGGTATGACTCATTCTGTGAGCCCATCTGTCCTAAATATTGAGAACCAGAACTAGCTCAAGACCCCCTGCAATTGGCTAACTATGTACATATCGAGGGATGAAATTGTACATATCGAGGGATGAAATCCACACAAGTTCTGGGGATACTTGATTGAATGAAGATCGACCAGGATCAGAGTATTCCCTCATAAAATACATCATCTTATTTTACAAAAATTATTAGATCAAATTTTCCCATTTTCACTTAATTCTGTTTAAAATATTTTTAGATCTTCTTAGATGAATTTTTGTGAAGCAGATGGGACATGTAATACATAGTAAATATATTTCTGGGGCAGAGTTTATCAGATTATTAATATTAGTGTTTAGCAATGTATTATTTAAAAGGATGCCACATATATCATCCTTTTATTTAATGAGAAGAGACTCAAAAAGTGACTATAATCATCTAAATTACTTATTACAATTGTCTAATTTCAGTAGCATTTCATTTTAGGAAAGCTCTCTAGTCTTAAATTAAGAATAATTTAAAATTTATAGGCATTTAACACATTATCTTTTAGGGGGATGCTACATTTCATTAGAAATATAATTTTCCAAAATTTCTTAAACCACTCTCCTTCTCTTTTGTTATTAATAAATCTACCGTCTCCTGCTTGCCTCTGCAGAAACTCATCAAGATCTGAACTCACAGGTTTTAGTTTAGATATTTTATATCAGATTAATTCAATCAATGAACCGTGAAAGACATTCTTTATGGATATCAGCCATTGTAGTAGGGCCCATCTGGGACACTGACCATGTGGGTTCTGGGGCCAAAAAATGGACTTAAGATGATTTAGATAGACATCCAAGGTAAAAGGACATTGTTTTAAATAGAATGTTCTCAAGCTAATGTCCTGTCTTCAATGTTCCTCCTGGAGGGAGTGGGCAGAGGGCAGATCCTCCATGTGCAGAGGGGCAGACAAGATGAAAGTTAATTAGTTCAGGGACCTTGGTACCTTTCTAAGGAGTTCAATTGTTTTTGTGTGTGAGAGACTTTTGCTATAGGGCATGTGCACTCACCAGAGAGAGACAGAAAGACAGAGAGACAGAAGATGATAAATCATCCCCCCACCTGGGGGGATGACCATGCTGCAGTTCCTTTTCCTCTTGGGATTTTGGGCATGCATGCATGCATGCCCGGCATGAGATTTAAGCCACCAGGTCTGGGAGTAAGACTTTAGTCAGCTGCATGGGAGTCCAATGATGTAACCATTACGCCATTTGCTGGTCTCCTAAGGTCCTCTATTAAGTGATAGTTTTCATGATCACACATTGAGCCTAATGCAACTCCACTATCTAATAACAAAGGCCCTGTTTTAACCTGCCCTGGCTGTGACTTCTCCACAGGTAGAGGTGCTTCCCACTGCACTGCCTTCCAGTTTCTAATTGGTGGCATTTACCTGACAAGGTGGCGGCATCTCTGAGCCACCTATGGCTGTGAGGAGCTCTCAAGTGGAGAGCATGGTAGCAGGGCTCCTCTTGGACCTAGAATAAGATTCCTTCTCCTGGAAGGTAGCAAGGGAGGCCATTTGTGAATATGGTAAGAGTAACCATGAGCTTTAGACCGTGAATCCCTCCTGTTCTAACTTTACCAGGTCTAGCTCAGTAAACTACTCACATGCACTGATAAAGGTGAGTTAAATGTTATTAATTCAGGTCCCATTAAGTGGGAGTTTGTGATGTTTTCTTTTCAACAAAAATATTCATGTGTGTCTTCCATTTGCTAGGCACTACTCTATGTTTGAAATTTTGTGATGAATAGGCCTAACCTATTATTATGGAAATTCAAGAGTTTTGGAGAAAGATGGGTGAACAGAAATTAAGTGTCTAATGAATTGTGGTAAACATTAAGTAGGACAAGAACAAGTTGGTTGGACAAAGACAGCCTCTTCTGGAAGGTGAGAGGTGATAGGTGGCAGCAAGGAAAAAGAGTTGGGAGATGTGTTCTTAGTGCAGGGAACAACCTTTACAAAGGCCCTGAGTCAAGGAGGAGGGGAGACAGTTGGTGTTCTGAAGGAAGTGAGAAGAGAGAGGCCCATGCTATAGGAAGGAGGTGACCCAGGAGGGTAGAGAGGAAAGCAAGGCTAGATTCAGTAGTGCATTGAAGGCCAGGGGACAGATTTGACTTTCAGACCAGGTATTATGGGACATCCCATGTGGCTTTAAGTAGAAGAGTGATGGACTCGTATAATTTTGGATGGACAGAATTTCCTTGCATTTTCGTTCTTTAAGGCAGATTCTATGCTATGTGAAAGAAGCTGGAGGGCTCTGTGTTTATGTGTGTGCATGGAATGAAAATCCTAAAGATCTCTTTGATCTTATAGCCCAGTGGCAATTAGGGCCACGACCATATTTAATCTAATCTAGGAAGCGAAATGTTCCATCAGCTAAAGTTTCACTTCCAAGAAAGGAGCAATCACTTCTAACTACAGCTGGGGCTGGAGGGACAGGTGGGTGGTGGAGAAAGGGCAGCGTTCATTTGTGATATTAAGTATCATGAATGGTTTAAGAGCATGTGAGGGCACTGGCCCAGACACATTGTGACCTGCTCAATACTGATAGTTGTTAAGTGGCAGAGATGGGGGACCAGGACACTGCTGCTGGAAAGACCATCTGTGTAAGGACCACTCTGCCCTCAAGCCAGTTTCCCGAACTGATTCTCCATTTCCTTCTGAAATGATGAGTTTAAAACCCACATCATGGTGTCATTATAAAGAAAACAGTGAGCATAATGCCATCACGTACAAGGTGCTCAATAAAGGTCTTTTTATTTTTTCTGGAAGTATTAGATGGGGTAATAGTTCTTGCCACCCTCAGAGTTGTGTAGACTTACATGAGATTGAAGAGAAAAGTTAGTAGTCACATTTACTCCTCTTAGATCTTATGCGGGCTCTTCAAGCTGAATCTAGGAAACAAATTAATGTAAGACAGATGAATGAGAAGAAAACATTCCAATTTTAATAGTTTTACATGGCCATGGGGATTTCCTCAAGAGTGTGGAGTCCAAAGAGTGGCCAAGGCAAGATGCTTTTATAACTTTTAGACAAAGAATGGTCAATTTGCAAAGAAATGACAAGAGAAAGAGATCTCTAGACCAGGGGAGTAAATTCTAGGGAAGTCACTAAGATATATATGGGGAAATATCTATGAAGTTAGTGGAAGGTAAAGTTTATTTCAGGGAGTTTATTTATTTAGGTTTAATTGCAGTCCTAATTGCTGTGATAAAGCCTATTTTTGCACTGCTAAGGTAAAACACCCCTCCAAGATAAATCTTTTATGTCTCATATGTAGGAAAAGATCAGTCAAATAGCGTTTTCTCCATCCACAATTCCTCTAGTGATTTCAGCTTGAAACAATAAATATTCCCATTTGGCATATGTTGGGATTATTCATCCTTAACTCCATCACCACCATATTTACAAAGGGCCCTGCTATGTTTAATATTCTGACAGTATCAGTTGTCTCAGTCTGTTTGTGTTGCATAGACCGGATGGGACCAATTTATTTCTCACAGTTCTGAAATCTGAAAAATCCAATATCAAGGTGCCAGTAGATTCCAGGGCTGGTGAAGGCATGCTTCCTGGCTTATAGATGGCTGTATTTCTGCTGTGTAATTACATGGCGTAAGGTGCCAGGGATATCTCTGGGACCTATTTAGGAAATCAGTAATCCCAGGCTAGCAGGTGGTACAGTGGTTAAGACACTTGACTCCCACATGTCTGACCACAGTTTGAGTCCCAGACTTGATGTTTTGCTTTGTGATTCTCCTATTCCTACCATTCTCTCTCTCTCTCTGGTGAGCGCATATGCAGTATGACAAGATGATAATAATAATAATAATAATGGTAATAATAAATTAATTTTAAAAATGTCACTAATCTGATTCATGTGGGCTCCATCTTCATTACCTAATCATTTCTCAAAGACCCCACCTTCAAATACCCTCACATTAGGAATTAGGCTTCAACATACATATTTGGGGAGGATTTAGTATATAACATTCTGCCCTGGTCCCCCCAATTCATGTCCTTCTCATATGCAAATTACATTGATTCCACCCCAAATATGCCTGAAATTCTTAACTTATTCCAGCATCAACTTTTTAAAGTCTAAGTCCAAAGACTCATCCAAATATCTAAATCAGATTACTGCTGAGACTCATGGTATACTTCATCCTGAGGCAAATTGCTCTCCAGCTGTGAACCTGTGAAACCAATGTGGGAGAATAAAATAGGCCACCCCAAAATAGACTTCTTCAGCATATTCCAATGACTATTCAGAGGGACTGCAGCCAGAAGATTTAGCTTTGAAAAGCTAATCTCTTTTTGTTTTTGTTTTGAGTCCTAGAGGGAGAGAGAGAAGGAGGAAGCACCTCCTCTCTCTCCAAGTGGCATGGGGTCACCCAGCAATACCTTTTCCTCCATTTCTCTACCTCATAGGGTTTCAGGCCTTCACACACCGTCAAGCTGCCAGGGCCAGGATTTTAATGACAGTCAGCCTTGTGGGATCTGGCGTTCTTTTCTTTTTTTCTTTTTCCATTTCTTTATTATTTTTATTAATTATTTTTAAATATATTTTAAAATTATTCTTCATACATTAAACCACTATACATCATTTACATTGTGAAGAGACTTTAGACATGTAGATTGTGAAGAGACCCAGCATGATGTACACCTCAGTCCAGCCCAGTTGAGACCACCTCTACACATGGTACTGAATTGCTGCACTGTGGTCAACTGGACCTCCTAAAGCTAATCTTTTATAAAAGAAACTGATTATCTATTCACATCAGCAAAGTAAACATTAGATGTAACACATTTCTCTAGCTCACCCTTACCTTTCCAGGTATAAGAAGAAGGGAGTTAGAAGTCTGACATCTGGCTCAGAAAATCAGAACCTCTTTGCATCTTCTCCTCCTCACCCTTTCGTAGCTTATCTCCAGGTTGGTCATTTGGCCTTTGAGTCTTGTTATTTGCTGGACTCTCATGTACATATGTACACTTTTTAAAAATAAAATGAATAATTTCTTCCTGTTAATATGATTGTCAGTTTATTTCATAGAAAATCACTGAACCTTTAGAGAGAAGAGAGAATATTTAAAACTTCCCTAATTGACAAGTTATGTGCTTCCAAAATACAACGATGGCACACTCATAGGATAGGCATTTCTATTCCAAATGGAGAAATAGGAAAGAAGGAAGCAATAGCAGGTCTCAAATAAGTCCAAACCCCAACAGGGTAAACGATAATAGACCTTAAGGCCGGAACATAATATTTGACTTGATGCTCCATCTTTCAGGCCCACTTAAGCTAAGGTCCCATCTTCCAGACCCACTGGGATAGGGGTTCTGCCTTCCACATACACTGGGGTGGGAGACCTCACCTTCCGGACCCACTTGGACAGTGATCTCATCCCTTTAGCTTTTCTGGGTAAGGGTTGAGCCCCCAAGACTCCAGGCAGCCCTGCTCTATGACTTTGGGTAGCTCTACCTAGTGGCGGCACTCTGCCTGGCTCTTACACCTGTGGCTCACCCGGGTTGGCATTGTGCACTGGTGCCTTTATGGTTCACTCTTGGCTCCACTGAGAATTGCCCTAAAAGGGACTATCTATAGTGGCCCCATCACAAACTCTGGGGCTTTTGTACTTTAGACCTACGATAGGAGGACTGGCACTGATGATTTCTAAATTGCTTTCAGGCCATTCTTCCATTGTTTTGGACAACAGCTCACAGCTTCTATATAGATGGTTGACTAATTGACTAATCTCTCCACTGTCTTTTCCTTTTTTTTTTTTTTTTAAGAGAGATTTTTGCCATAGGGCACATGCACTTGCCAGAGAGATGGGGACAGATAGATAAAAAGTGAGAAATCAATCCCCAGGGGGATGGCTATACCACAGTCCCCTCTCCTCTACTCTCTTCATGGGATTTTGGGCACATCTGCCCAAGCACCCAGCATGAGTTTTAAGCTGCCAGGTCTAGGACTCAAACCATGGTCAGATATGTGGGAGTCCGGCGATGTATCCATTACACCATCTGGGGGTCTCTCTCCACTCTCTTTTTTTTTTTGGAGATATTTTCACTGTAGGGCACATGCGCTCGCCAGACAGACAGAGAGAGACATAGAGACAGAAAGCGAGAAATCACCCCCCAGGGGGGATGGTCACGCCGCAATCCCTTCTCCTCCATTCTCCTCTCGGGATCTTGGGCACACACGCACACGTGCCCGGCGTGAGTTTTAAGCCACCAGGTCTGGGACACGAACCGCGGCCGACTACGTGGGAGTCCAGCGACATAGCCATTACGCTAACTGCTGGTTCCCTCTCTCCACTCCCTTGAGTAGTGCCTGGATTCTGCTGAGACGGCCAGTCCATATTAATCTACATAAATGGTCACTTGGCACACCCTTAACATTCTCTCTTAAACATACTATCTTCTAAATTCTATTTTTTGTTTTTAAAGTTCTAATTCCTACCAAAATGCTGTTCAAGATCACTTAAGTGTTCTCTAAGAAGATTGAAACTTTTCCTAAAGCCTTCTTTTATTTCTGGACCCTCACCAGAATTGCCTTTAAAGTTCCATTCACTTTCTAGCATGTGCTTCCCAATTCTTCAAGCCTCTACCCATTATACAGTTCCAAAGCTTCCTCTATATTTTTAGGTATTTGTTACAGCAGTATCCTAAATTCTTAACATCAGTTATCGGTCTTTGTCTCTCTGGGATGCTGTAACAAATATATTGTAAATGGACTGGCTTGTAAACAACAAAAAACTGTTTCTCACAGTTCTGAAAGCTAGGAAGGCCAAGGCGAAGATGCTGGCAGGGTCAGTATCTGGTGAGCGTCCATTCTTTCTAGAAGCCTTTTTTTGCTACATTCTGATGTGTTGGGAAGTGCTAACCAGCTTTCTGTTGTCTGTTTTATAAGGGCACAAATCTCATCCATGAAAGCTCTGACCTAATCATCTCCCAAAGGCCCCATTTCCAATACCATCACCTTGGAGTTTAGGTTTTGATGTGAATTTTGAGAGGAGGCAGCATTCAGTTATAGCAGGTGTCACATTTAGTGAGACCTTGACTAGCTGAGTGCACACTCCCCTCCTGGTGATGCTTATCCCACTCACCTGTCATGCCACGGTGACCTCTGGAGTGCCAGCCCCATGAAGGTATGACCTGTTCACCTTCATATCCCTGGTGCCCAGCTCAGGCCTTGGCACCCTGTAGGTGATTATGACATATTTAATGGATAAATGAATCCATTATGTCAAGACTGGAGCTGGGGGTGCCAGCAGGTGACATAGTGGTTAAGGTGCTGGACTCCCACATGGCCTACCGCAGTTTAAGACCTGGACCTGGCAACTTGAAACTCATACCAGGCACGTGTGCATGCATGTCCAAAATCCTAAGAGGAGAATGAAGATGGGATTGTGATGTGGTCATCCCCCTCAGAGGGATTTCTCACTTTCTTTCTCTCTGTCTTTCTGGAAAGCTCTAGAGCAAAAATCTCTCTCTCAAAAAAAGAGAGGAGCTGGGGAGGCACAGCCAGGATGATGCACTAAACTAAGAACTGGGGTAGGTCAGCCAGTGCAAAGTGACAGTGGGAGTAAGGGTTAGAGACTGTTCATGTGACGGCAGGCAGTGGATCCCATTCCCCTTTGTTTTCTGCACAGAATTTTCAGCATTCCTGGGGACACAGAAAACACACAAAAAATGCCTCTGAAACTCCAGGGAACCTGGAGGTAACATGTCAATCTGGTGTGAAAGTGACCTGGTTCTTGGGAACGAGCAACATGCTTAGACTCTGCATCTTGCTTGACCTGGTGCCCTGCTTCTTCTGGGCCTTCTCTCTTTCTCCTGTCTCCCTGTGCTAAGTGATGACATATTGAAAGGTCAGTGCTCCTTTGGGGCTGCAGACTTGACCTTTGTGTCATTCATTCTGTTGATCCCAGGAGACTCTCAGAGTTGAGTTCTTCAGAGTACTGCAGAATGGCCTTCAGATCTGCCTTAGGGAAGGAAAGAAGTAAAGGGACAGCATCGGGTACTCACTCTGCTGGCCAGGAGGATGGCCAGGCCAAATGGCACAAATTTCTGGTGGGCACTTTGGCCCCACTGCTCCTGAGCCCTGAGGCTGTTACATGACTGACTTTGATTCATCCTTAAGGACTGCCTCAGCCAGGAGCCTTGCAGGCTCCAGGATCTCTTCTCTTTAAGGTCTGCTCCTCTCTGCCTGGCCCTTAGGAATTGCCTTTCCTGCCCTTCATAATTTAAGAGAACAGGGCTGCCTGAGGCTCATGCTGCCCACTCAGCCAGAAGGAAGTCTGAGAAAGCAGCAGGGAACATTCTCATGGGTTCATTTTCTCTGTCCTGGGGAGAAGCCTAGTGCAGAAGGACTCGACAATGAGCAACTCCCCTGCAAGGGGGCTCAGACCCACAGCTGCTCTTCTCTACCACATGAGTGCCCAAGACATATCTGCAAATCTATTGGAATATGCTGGGTGTCATGATTTCCTGCTCATCTGCTTTCTCAGTTAAGCATTTTCTCTGTGTGCTGTTTTCTTTACCTTTGGTCGTAAGAGGAAGTTGGCTTATTGCCGTTAGTGGTCTGCTGATTATCTAGGGTCCTTTGGTAGTATATTCAAAACTTCTCTTTAGGGCAATCCTGGTAGAAATCAGCAGAGAAGAATTCAGGAGTATGCTGCCTACAGAGTGTTGGCAATGGGAGTGTAAACTGGTACAGCATTTCTGATGGGCACTTTGGTCTTATAGATGCCATGATTCCATTTTGGAAAATCCCTCTCACAAGTAAATAGAGACACTTACACATAAAGATTTATATATAAGGATGTTTAATGCTCTCTTACCGTATTAAATAAATGGAAACATTCTCTTCCTCCAGGTGACCTCTGCTTGGATTCTTGTAATTTGGGGATCCTCCCTACTCAGCCCTCCTTTGTCTTTGGATAGCTCTCACTCAGAGTTTGAGGTATCTTCCTCAGTCAAGCCAAAAGATATTTTCTTGGTCACTTCATTGGCTCAGGGTCCATTCTCAAATAGCATCGGGACATGTTGGTGTACTATGCTTATGCCAACACATTCTTGAGCATCTTGTCAAGAGTGAGAGGTGGATATCTGACTGAGCATGACCCAAAGTAGCCAGTGGTCCTGGGCTGCAGTGCACATGCAAGTGACTAAGAACACAGGGCTATTGTATATAAGGGTAGGGATGGGCAACCTGAGTTGTTCTCAGAGCAGAGGTAACTTGCCAGTTTGGTATAACAGTAGCCTGGTTCTTGGGAACAGTATGCCCAGACTCTGTACCTCTACTCAACCTGGTGACTTGCTTCTTTTGGGTCTTGTCTGTTTCCCTTGATTCCCTGTGCTAAGTGACTACAAGCTAGCCCTTGGGAAAGGGTGGGAGAGTACTGATAGGAGAAGGTAAGTGTTGGAGAAAACCTTAGCTGTTGGCTGCTCATTCAGAAAATGCCATGCCAGTGAGGACCACAGTGGCAAGAAGTTTCTCCGAGGCTCCAGCTTCTTTCCTGCCAAAGTGACAATGAAGAAAGCTTTTGGATCAGAGTGATGCTGCTGATCTGGCTGTGCCTGCCTCCTGTTGCACTTTTGGCAAATGACCTAATATTGATGTTTGTGGGTGACAGTGTTCTGCTCAACCTCCTTGGGCTCCATGTCTCAGTCAGCATCTAGCCTTTGAACCTGTCCTAGAAATAGTCATGTCCCCAGTGACATTTCTGCTTTGTTTTGCCCACTTGCTTCTCTCTAAGGCAGATCACATGCAGCCCTCCCAAGATGGGCGCTGTGCTGCTGGTAGCTAGAAAACAGATATGAGTCTTATTCTCCCAGAAGTACACACCATAATAATGAGTTCCCCCCCACACCACCACCACCAAATGCAAGCAAATGTTTCCCAAGATTATAGCAGTGAAGCCCACGTGGGATTGCATGTGTTTACACTGCCCTTGTGCATACACCTGAACTTAAACAGCAAGCCAGAAGCTGCTAGCAAAATCCCCAGCTGCTCTGGACCCTCCTGTTTAGAGGCAGGATTCTGAGCATGCAAGGAGAAGATACCAGGCAAAATTCTCAGCCCTGGGCTGGCTTGATTATTGTTTGCCTTTTTCCAATTAGTGTGGCCATTTCTAAAGATTTCCTCTAAGATCTCAGGGCTAGAGATGGACCTTACTTTATTGGGCCAGTGAACAAAGAAGAGCAGCTAAACAAGAAGTCAAATCCAAATGCCAAAGGTCAGTGGGTAAAAGTAACAATTGCTTTTCTGCCCTTTTGTTAGGAAAAAAAATGGATTTTTAAAACAGAGTACATCACTAACTACTATCTTAAGGGAATAAAAAAAGCTCAGCAATTTGTTTACATTTCCCCAATAGCTTGCTGGCTTGGCACTTTTTAGTAAAAAAAAAAAAGAATTTTAGTTGGGGCTCATATGTGCCTGTTCCTCTCTGTGTATGTGTGTGCGTGTGTGTATGTATGTAAATTGTCTTTGTGTGCAGGCCCCAGTGGCCAGACTTTATCAACAAGCTGATCTTTGAATAAAACCCCACTAGTCTGTACCTTCTAGAGCCCCTTGGTGTCACTGGGCGAGCTGTCTCTTGCTTAATGGAAGGTGATGGCAGCTGCAGAGTCTCCCACCAGTTAGTGGAATTTACATAATCACATCAGCCTACTAATCTTACTATCCCGCCAGGACACACTGAGGGCATTGTAACTTTAAAGGTAGATGTAGGTCTAACTTAGATCCCTAACTGTACACATTTGGTTTCAAGTCTTAACTTTGATTCAAGTAAAGTCCAAAAATGTGTGAACCACTAGAGATCTGGATGGCAACCTGGCAAGTTCCTTCTCTTTTTGCCATTTGCCCATTGGCCACACAGTTTGCTCCTGGCTCACTGAAATGTGGAACAGCTTGGGGGATTCCTGAGTTAACAGCCTATTTCTTGCTGCATAGAGATTTGCTTAGAAAACGTAACTGTCTGTGAGTCTTCAGCATCTGAAAATATGCCTAGGAACAAAAGCAGTTAGGTAGCATGTCTTTTGACTAAATTCAGCTATTCAGAGTAATGAAATTTGATCATTATGCTTAATAATAATCATTACATTTAATATATGTAATGGGAAGCACATTTAATGCAATGCTTACATTATCTTTGACTTCTTTGCCCAATTTCTGGCACGTAGTAAGTACTTAGTAAGTGTGTATTGAAATAGTAAAGACTATCTCTAGTTTCCTAACCATGTTTGAATGTTGACAGCTTCAGTTTTGATAACTTTGCTTAAACAGACCTTCAAAATAGTAGTGTGGAAATATAATTCAGATAGGATTGACCCCACTTCTTGGTCTCCACTGACACCTTTTTTTTTTTTTTGAGAGGTTTTTGCTATAGGGCATGTGCGCTCGCCAGAGAGACAGAGAGAAACAGAGAGACAGAAAGCGGGAAATCACCCCCCAGGGAGGATGGCCATGCCACAATCCCTTCTCCTCCATTCTCCTCTCGGGATATTGGGCACGCACGCACACGCACCTGGTGTGAGTTTAAGCCACCAGGTCCGGGACTCGAACCGTGGTTGACTACATGGGAGTTCAGCGACATAGCCATTATGCTAACTGCTGGTCCTGTCCACTGACACCTTTGAAAACTGGTCAGAAAGCTTTCATCTAGGGGAATTCACTATTCCCCCCCACCCCCAGTCCTCTTTCTTGCATCTGGGAGATTTATACAATTTACACACACACACACGTGTCACACATGTCCACACATAGGCACACACATAGGTCCCAACTAAAATCTTTCCTTGATTCTGACAACTTGAGCTTCTTTAAACATTGCTAGAGAACTGGAGGTTGGCAGATAGGTGTGAGTTCAGCAGCATGTTTTTCTTTAAAAATTCTGAAAATGCCTTTAAAAAAAAAAAAAAGTTTAAACTAATTAGCCCAGCGATTTAAGGTTGAAGAGACTCGAACACTGGAAAGACTAATATAGAGTGGGACCAGCAGTTAGTGTAATGGCTATGTCGCTGGACTCCCACGTAAGTCGACTGTGGTTCGAGTCCCGGACCCGGTGGCTTAAAGTCACGCCGGATGCGTGTGCGTGCGTGCCCAATATCCCGAGAGGAGAATGGAGGGGAGGGGATTGGGGCATGGTCATCCCCCTTGGGGGATGATTTCTCGCTTTCTATCT